TGAGGCAAAGGTGAGGAATAATGTCGTCTGGTCAGATGAGACCAAATCAGACTTAAGGGCTGGCATGTGAAACATAATTTAGGTGTTATATACAGTTTAACATTTTTTTTTTTTTTTTTTATTGAACCTAATAAACAGTGCAGGCCTGAACTAACAGCAACAGCTGTAAAGCATTTTTTTATATCTGCAATCAATCTTTTAGATGTTATTCCACCAAAATAATGCTGTATCCACCTCTTTGATTTGCATTGGGAATTAGTTGGAACAGTTCCTAAACAATCGGGGAGATGCCAACAGAAACTGGCCGTCTGCATCATTATTTCTCTGAGTTTTGTGAGAAAGACTGGAAACAGAGAGCCAGCAGAGAATGAATGAACTTGATCTTCTCCTTCTATGAGGGTCACGAAGTCGAGGACCAGCAAAGACACCCCACAGCTGGGGGGCTGTTTCCCGAAGAGAATACATCAAGTCCGCCTCTCAGCCTCACTGTGACTGAAATCACTTCTCCTCCTCAATATGGAGATAAATACAGGTAATTTGAGTATTGGTATTTTACATTATCCTTGATGTGAAGTCCTCCTAATCTATTTTTGTGCTTTGAGTGTTATCTATAAGGTTATGACAAACTTAATTTTGATAAGAGTAACCTTACTGTATATAATCTCTATTAATGAGTTTCCTGATGTCTGTTAGCTGTTAGTTTCTTTGTCTACAACACAGCTTATTACAATATTCATTTGGTTTACTCCATTACAGTACATTAGGTGTTGATAGTGTATTTATACACGTTAATGTTACTATTAATGGTGACTGATGGTCATTAAACTACCTATAGGCTACCAGCATGTTAGCTACCTGTTAACCCAGAAATGCTCTTTAATACTACACAGCCCTGCTTGTTGCATCACCCTGGCAATAATAAAGCTTCCCTCTACCATTTCAAGCCTTTATATTTTACCCTCATATTTTAACCTACCTCATCTTAAGTGATAATGGACTTTTGATAAGAGAAAAACTTGTTTAAAATTTAAATATAAAATATACAAAATATTGTTGTATTTACGTCTTTGTTTTCAATTTAAAGACATTTCAGTTGTTCTAATACATTTATAAAGCTAATTTAACCTTATTCCAAATGATTTAAGATAACCGTTGGTTATCATATCTCAGTCCATATTGAGGTATGATAACATCATTGCATCATTTTGTTTACAGAGTAGCTTATGATCTTTGTTAGCTCAGTTGAGAATGTTTAATTGAAATACTGTCATGATCTGGCCTGTTTGCTCTCCCTTAATTAGTCATTCTTTTCACCTGTCGTTTTTCCCTCCCTGCCTCAATTATAATTTATTCCCCTCACCTGTTTCCTGTTGGTTATATTCAGTTCAGCCTGAGCATTCAATGGCAGATCATTGCTTGTCTTGCTGTTAGTCTGTCTGTTCAGTTTTAGTTCATGGTTCATGTCCTGGATCCTAGCAGCCATTGGAAAGAGGGTTTTTGTGTTTGTCTCGTCTCCTGATCGTCCACTGTTCCTCCCCCGCAGAGTCCTCTGGGTTTTTGGCTCATTATGGGGGGAGGTTCAGTTTTTATCCAGTGAGCCTGGCTCCAGGGAGGAGACCAGTTTAAAGTCCTGCTTCAAGTTCCGGTTCTACGTCCTGTCTCGGCTACCCTCTTCCACTGAGCCTGCCTGTCTGCACCTGATCCTGTCTGCTCCTATGCGTGACCACCTGGTCATGCTTCTGGTCCCAGTCAGACTCTGAACCCTCCTGGAAGCCTGTGGATGCCTGGAAGTCTGGATCCTGCCACCTGTTTCTGTTCCCGCCTGATCTGGATCCTGCCTGTTCCTGTTTGTTCCTGTCTGTTCTGGATCCCTCACCAGGATCGGCTTCCAGCATGACCTCTGGGACTGCAGCACTGGGACATTCTTGGTCTGGACTGTTAAACCAGGTAAGTGACCAACGCAGATAATCTTCTGTCAGATGATCATGGTCACTTACCTGTGATTCTCCCACTATAGAATGTCTGAGATTGGGCAGTGCCCCGCCCCCCCGCCTGCAGTGTCCGTGAGCCACAGCTCCGCTTTTGTTTTGTTTATTTAATAAACGTTTTGAACTTTCCTACTGACTGTCTCTCCTTTAATACTGGGTCCATCTGTCCACGGTTCCTGACAAATACATTTAACCTGGAGTTGAATTAGTTATTTGAATAAATTCTCATGTTTGCAATGAGAGTTGTGAATTGTTTATTCGGGTTCACTCACACGACAAAATAGGACACACCAAAAGTTAGTTGATTAAGAATTCAACAACATCAATGCATTTGAAAGCAAAATATGTATTGTAAGAATAATGACAGACCTTAAGGCTTTAAAAATGACATAAACATCAAGAAACACTCTTAAAAACATGGATCCAAATAAAAAAATAAAAAATAAAAAAAAAACACCACAACTTTGTGAAAATCAATATTTGGGGGTAATGGTAGTTTGAGATGTAGAGGTTAGCCATTTGTTGTTGGCTCAAGCCCCAGCTCCCCTCCATGGTGGTTGCCAGTGGTATGTCAGCCCGTTTAAATTGGGTAAAAAAAAAAACTGAATTTAAGCATTCTGAGAAATTAAATTTTTTATTTTTTTTGCAAATTTTTTGTTCTAAAAAAAAATCATTAAAATCCAAATAATTCTCAAGAATTTCACCCTGATTCTGAAAATTCTTACTGTGTGTTTTTGCAGAGGTCAATCAGTGTGTGCACCCTAACTAGAACGACAAAGTGTATGTGTACAAATTGTGTAAAGGGTCTGCATTAGCCCCTCTATTGACAGGTCCAGGGGGCAGTGAGTCATGTGAGGCTGATGGCCATCAGGTTACGCATACTGCCTCTGCTGTAACTCTGGTCAAAATCTCTTACTCAACAGGTCAAGTAAAGGGCTGATTTCTCTGAATGATGGAAAAGTACTGAACGTATGTCGGGCAGTGGGCCAAATCAAATATTTTTTTTTGAGTAAACTAAAATCATCAAGTTGAATATAGTTCAATCCCCATGTAGATGTTAGATTTCATTATATATAATATATATGTCTATATATAACATATAAACAAATATGTTTTTGTTTTTTTTCTGGAACCAGAGCAGAATTCAGAAGGATTCCTTAACATAACAGACAACCTGTCTATTATCCTGGACAAGGTGACTAATAATACCAACAATGTCTTCTATTGAAGCTTCAATTGGGCTTCAATATAAAAAAGGGGCCTAAAGTGACTTTGGTTGAGGACCTGCCAGCTTAAACATACTGGATCTTTCTGACTCAGTTTCCCACTTTATTATTCAATTTTTCATGATATTTAGCTGATCCAAATGACGAAAAACAGACTTCAAACAAAAAGGCCTTCATGTCACTTTTTTTGTTGAGTCTAAGTACCTAAACATGATTGCAGTAAGTAGATGCCAAAAATGGTTGCATATTTTTTTTGTGTACTGAAGGTTAGGGTTTCCAACTTCTTTTAAAAGCCACATATATGTATATGGTTGAACATACATCTGCTCAGAAAAAAATACACATCTATGTTAAAAAGGCATGTTTTATTGATTTAAAGCATACATATTTAAAAAAAGTAACTATTGATTTATTTTTAGATTTAAAGTTGTAAGTCCATTAAGAGAAACAATGTTGGAAAAAAATCAATGGCGGGATAAAAGAGATTTAAAATGTATTAAAAAAATTATGTATTATTGTGGAAAGCATTAAAAGTTGTGGCACTACCAAAATATAATCTTTGGCACACAAAAAAAAAATTATTAAAGGGTTCATAACTGTTCCCTCTGTGGTAACAATCTTTTCTGCAAAATACGGGTTTGAGGCTGATGTTATAAAACAGACAACATCCTGGCGCCTGGCTTGGCCCCTGAGCATCGCATCAAGTGGAGCAGCTGCATTCTAACTTTAAATTTAGGAGAGCTAACTTATTTTTCAGCTCATTTTGACCCAGATAAATAATACTGCTTTAATCTGACACATTTACAGGGGTTGTATTGATTTTTATTGCACGTTTTTTAATAGGAGGCAAAAATAAATATAAAAAAATGACTGTCAAAATTTCTTCAGAAAAGAGAAATTTGCAACTATTTTTATTTCATTTTGAGGTTTGGCAAATGGCATAAAATATAAATTTCTTTTGTTCAGGTGCCAATAAATGAGGAGCATGGTGTAGCTAACAGATGGTTAATAAAAAAGAGCAAGCACACAAGCTAGACTGTGAGAGGGAGAAATCATTGGAAAGCAATACCACATGGACAATCAGTGTACACAGATTTTCTATCCACGTCTGTTTATCGGACAGCATCAGCACTCTGGTTGACGGAGTGGTGGATAAAGAGGAAGTCAATAAATCTTTGTCCATGTTCAGATCCCTTGCAAACAACAAGATCAGACCTTGGTCTCTGTGGAAATTTGTGTGTTCTGCGTTGTTCCCCAGGAAAAATCAAGTTTCCTCTCAGTGCAAATGAGTTTGCTATACTTTATTTTTAAAGCACACATTTGATGAAAACCAATAAGGCTGAAAGTAAAACCATCAAATTTAAGATTTTTTTAAAACCGAGTCTTTATTTCATTTCAAACTGAGCCTAGTTAAAACAGCAATAGTGCACTAGAAGTTACTTTAATGTGTCAGTGGGTGCTGCGAATGCTGTGTCTGCAGATGTTTTGGTCCTTAATTCATCACTTAAAACAGTCAATGGGAGAATATCAATCATGATGGAGAAAGACATTAACCAACCAAGACAGATGACAGATAACACCGAATGTTTAATGGTGACAAACGGATTAATGGAAGCACATTTCTGTTACTTGTAGATAGGTCTGTTGTCTTATTCACCCCCTCTACTTCTCATTTATTCAGTCCGCTTAATATCACAGTAGTAATTGCTGTTAAGGATGATGGATGAATGTCCTGAAGCCGTGAGGCTCACTCAAACTATGGCAGGTCTACCCGTCGCACCGGTCTCTACGCAGCTGTGGGGTTGCTGATCTTCCCTGCGAAGATGATACTCCTCGTCGAGTGCTCGATAATGAAGACCAGGAAGGGTCGGTTGAGATTCATCTCCATGGGCAGACTCATTGGCATGATCTCTATGGTGGTGACAGCGGCCGCTTCCGTGCCTGTTTCATCCACTCTCAGCTCAGCCTGATGCGAGACCTGCAGGGGGAAAGGAAACCTTTAAAGCTGTGTTCTGATTTATACTGTTTTTCTGTTCTGTATGTTTTTTTTTATTAACTGTTTATCCAATATGGCGGATGAGCTACCTTTGAGACTTTAAGCTTGATCTCATCAGATATGCCAGAGAAATCAGCGTTATCACCGTAAGCCTCTGTCACTCCCATTTCCTTCAGAACATCGTCCAATGGAGTGGAAACAGAGATGGAGAATTTGGGCATTAGAAGGTTCAGGTTGCTGTGGGGAAAACAACAACAACAATCAGTCATACAAAACAAGGTATTCCATCATACATCGCCTATTGAAGATAATCAACACCATGTTTCATATTTCCAAGAAAAACTGAAGACATTGATTGGATTCTTACTTCTTGTAGAGACTGTCATGCCAGTGTCTCAAGTGGTTCTTGCTAATGAAGCCCTCAACTTCCTCCATCTTGTTTTCATCAGGCAAAACAATCATCATGGAGGTATTGCCTTTGTAGGGAAGAGAGACGATGGTGCTGTGGTTGCCGTCATCATAGTAGTAATCAAAGCGCCCCATCTTCTTCATCATGTCCACTTCAACCTTGGTGTTTTCATCCACATGGAACTCTGCCTTTGCTGTATGGTTTTTGTTGAAGGGCTTCTCCCATTGTCCTGTGTGATGCAACAGATGTACATGGGAGTAGTTACAACATTTTAGAGTATTTTTACTCTCATGGATTTGGATTTGCATGATTGTTTGTTTTGTGTGTCTCTGGATTGCCCTATAACAGACTGGTTTCCAATGGTTACCCTGCCTTCTGGCCCATAACCAATGAAGTTAGTCCCTTACCCCACCATGACCTGTAGTCTCGTTTCACAATCATCATTCACAAATGGAAACTGATCTGCAGACTTACCTCTAAAGTAGACGTAGTTGATCAGCATCATGGCTGTTGCAGGGTCCAAGTCCTTTACCATATCCTTAATCATATCGTTTGTTTTTGAAGCAATGTGACTGTTGATCTGAGCCGCAGCCTCAGAGGGATTGGAGAAGTCAACGTTGAATACTTCCCCACCATAGTTAGTCTTAATGTCATTCAGGAATGTCTGCAAAGGGTTGAAACCAGTGCGCACTGCAACAGACTCCCCAAGATCCAGCTTCTGCTCCTGCTGGCTCTGGCCAAGCATTTGGAAAAGATGATTGTAGGCTTCGTTGACCCGTGCCTGGTCCAAGCTGCTGTAGCCCAGGGTGGTGAACAGCTGTTCATGGGTCTTGCCCCGGGCTCCTACGGACAGCATGGATAGAGCAGAGGAGAGGCCCAGAGGGGACATGAAGATGTTCTTTCCAGGACCGGCTCTGCGACTCACATGTTTGTAGAGGGCAAAGGCAAAGTCGGCATTAAGAGGGGAAAGAACATGGCAGCTCATGTTGTCTTCATGGCTGTGGTGGTGGTGGAGGTGGTGATCAGCATGGACCACAACCAGCAGCAGGACTGCCAGAGCACAACAAGCAACAAAGCTACGCATCTTAGAACCTGGGAGAGATAAAGCAAGTCAGTTACATTACACACATAGAAAGAAGAAGCTGTTGTTTCTGAGTAGAAACATTAATCCAATTAACAAGGAAGTAATTTATCAATATCATTGTCAACAGTAAGACAATACAAGAATCAACCAAAGCAGACCAAAAGGTGCCTTTATGATTACTCTAGTTGCTATGGTAATAATAAAACTCCTCACCATAAAGTAATTTGCTTACCTTTACTGGCTTCTGTGCTGCAGAAGGCTCATGAGATAATTCCAGCTTTTATAGAGGGGCTCAGAAAAACAGCTGACAGTTTGGTTAAATATTTACTAGAAATCAGTCTGCCCAGTCTCTGTCCTTTGCTATCTGACTGATGCAACACAGCAGATAAGGAGCAGGTCTCAATGTTTCAATGCTGATACATACATAGTCTACAGTGATATACAATATGTGTATATAAAACGAATTAAACTTTATATTTAAAGTCTTGTTGCTTTCTTTGGAAGCAAATCATTGAGTATTATAACTCTTAGTGGAAAGTTGGGAACTTGCCACATAACCATGTCACAAAGTGACAGAAGCTGCCTTTTATTTAGACTGTTGTGGCTCATTAGGGCATCTATTTGTGTTTTGATGCAGTTCCTTGCGAAAGTATTTGCCCCCTTGAACTTTGACCTTTTGCCACAATCTCAGGCTTCAAATGTAAAGATATAAAATTGTAATTCTTTGTGAAAAATCAACAATAAGTGGGACAAAATCATGAAGCAGGAACTGTTAGGTTTATTGAACTAAGTTTATTGGATATTTTAAACTTGTCCAACAAATAAAAAACCGGCAGCCATTTTTTCTTTGATTTAATTATTTATTTATTTTTTTTTTTGACTGAAACTACTTTTTTGAAATAGAAAGATTAAAGCTACAGTGTGTAATAATTACAGGGATATACAGTCAGAAATGTAATATATTATACATAACTATGTTATTTATCATCATCTACGAG